AAATAGGCTGACAGTTGAGGAGAACTTAATGGCTCATGAAATTGTGGATCTAGCTTTAGGCATGGCTGAACTCTGCTGCTCAGAAGGACTTGATGTCTTTGGGGCTCTCTCATGGCTCGGCTGCTTACTGGGCTGGCTTCATTCTCAGTCAGATTCTTTCTCTGTAGGATAATCCAAAAGTAGAGTCTACAGTGCACCAAGCTGAAGCTCAGGAGACACAATTCCCATAGAGGAATCCCAGGGGCTGACTTTCATTGCTTAGGATTGGCTTAAATCTTGGGTCAGGAGCTAGTCAATCACTTATTAACTCCATCTATTCCAGGGGTGGGGTGGGATGGGGTGGGAGGAGTGGTTTCCCAAAGAGAAATTAAAGTGCAGTGGCTGGAAGAAAGGGAACCATGTCAAGCAGGTGAAAACATCAGATAGCCACCACCATATTCCACAGAAGCTAACAATACCCAGGGAGCTGATAAAGCATCAGAGGGGAACAGCACCAGGGGATAGCCTATGGAAGTTCAGAGACTCCCAGCCTATTCAGAGATCTCTGTGTTCCATCTGGCATAGGACCCAGACCAACTGGATACCCATATGGAAAAAAATGAACCCCAACCTCTATTATCACTCCAACTCACCTTTATGGGATTGTTCAGTCTTGATTCTTAAGGATATCACTTCCCTCTTAATGGACAAGAGAGTAAAGGTCCCTCTTCCCACCCTGCCCTCCCCTCCTCCCATCATTTTCAACCTCCTAAGAAAAGATTCTCTTGCAACCACAGGGAGGGGGGAAATCTCAGGAAAGACTTAGAATGATCTTTTTACCAGCATGGAGGTATAATGCCTTAAAGGCAAATTGAATTTTAGTTCACGAAAATAAAACAGGGGCTCCTGGGTGGCTCAGTCGGTTAAGCGTCCGACTTCGGCTCAGGTCATGATCTCACGGTTGGTGGGTTCCAGCCCCATGTCGGGCTCTGTGCTGACAGCTCAGAGCCTGGATCCTGCTTCAGATTCTGTGTCTCCTCCTCTCTCTGCCCCTCCCATGTTCATGCTCTATCTGTCTCTGTCTCTCAATAATAAATAAACGTTTTAAAAAAAGAAAAAAAGAAATGTGTCCTTCATTTTATTTGTGGAGGAAAATTCATGCCTGCCATGTTGCTTATTTATGGTGTCTGAAAATATTTTTCCCCAAAGAACTCTAATTCAATAAGCATGTGCTTTATTTTCTCAAAACCAAGCATTCTCTCTTAGTCTATTTTTTACAGTTTATTTATTTATTTTTTGAGAGAGAGAGAGAGAGAGAGAGAGAGAGAGAGAGAGAGAGAGAGCATCAGCTGGGGAGGGCAGAGAGAGGAGACAGAGAATCCCAAGTGGGCCCTGCACCATTAGCACAGAGCCCGACATGAGGCTCCATCTCACGAACCGTGAGATTACAACCTGAACAGAGATGAGTCGGACGCTTAACCACTTAACCAACTGAGCCACCCAGGCGCCCATTTCTTAGTCCCTCTAAACTAAAGCCCAAGAGTGAGGAAATCTTGCAAGGCCCACTCTCTAGGTGAGCGTGTTGCTCAAAAATCACAGGTCAACAACTCTAGAAACAGACCTACCCATATATACTTGGTAGATCTTTAACCAAGGTGCCAAGTCAGTCCAATGGTGAAAGGTCTTTTTAACAAATGTTGCTGAAAAGCAGACATCATCTGGAAAAATATGAACCCCAACCTCCACCTCGCTCCACAAATATAAATTAATCTGTGCTGAATTACAGACCTGAACATAAAATCCAGACTATGAGCTAATGGAAGAAAATATAGAACTCTATCTTTATGATCTTGTGGTGGGCAAAGATTTCTCAGATAGAACCCAGAAACCATTAATCATCAAAGAACAAAGGCAATAACTTAGACATTATCAAAAGTAGGAATTTCTGCTCATCAAAAGACATTGCTAAGAAACTGAACATAGGAGCCTGCACAGGCTGGGGGAAATATTTGCAGCACAAAAATTTGACAAAGGACTTGAACCCAGAATATATAAAGAACTCAAAGAATTTACAAATGGACAGAAAAGGGATGAACAACCCAGTTTTAAAATGTGCAAGACTTGGAGGGCCTGGGTGGCTCAGCTGGTTAAGCATCCGACCTCTGCTCAGGTCACAATCTCACAGTTTGTGAGTTTAAGCCCCACATCAGGCTCACTGCTGTTAGCATTGAGCGGGCTTCGGTTCTTCTGTCTCTCTCTCTCTGCCCCTCCCCCGCTCTTATTCTCTCTCTCTCTCTCTCTCTCTCTCTCTCTCTCTTGCTCTCAAAAATAAATAAACATTAAAAAATAAATACCGGCGCCTGGGTGGCTCAGTCAATTAAGCGTCCAACTTCGGCTCAGGTCATGATCTCGCAGTTCGTGGGTTCGAGCCCTGCATTGGGTTCTGTGCTGACAGCTCAGAGCCTGGAGCCTGCTTCGGATTCTGTGTGTGTGTGTGTCTCTCTCTCTGCCCCTCACCCACTCATGCTCTTTCTCTCAAAAATAAACATTAAAAAACATTTTTGAAAATAAATAAAACGTGCAAGACTTGAATAGACATGTCACAAATGGAGATACGCTAATGACCATGAAGGCAAAATTCAACAAGGGCAAGAAGCCACACTTCCTTCTGTCTTTTGAAAGCCTTCCCCATGTGGCTTGCTGGTTGGATTCGCTGGTGGGACACAGAAGTCAGAGGGGTTGGTCTTTGAATCCTCGTTACATCTGGGACAGAAGGGTGAAATCGGTCATTCGTTGGGCACATATTCTTCTGTTCCATGGCGATCTTTAGATGGGCTGAACATCTTTAGATGTGGGTGTCCCCCACACCTGTCCCTGTCCTCCAAGTCTGTCAGGGTATACAGAAAGGGAGACAATGCAGTCACTGGCTTCCCTCCTGGTCTGACGCAGGGTCCTCCCTGGTCCCACACCTCAACCACTCCACATGTTTGGTAGCTACCTAATACATAGGTGTCCCCAAGTTCCTACAGACCAAAGACAGCTGTCTCCTCAGCAAGGAACGTTTGGGGATTAGCACAGGCTAAGCCCCTCGGGCACTCATCCGAGGGCTAAGAGCTCACCGCCATTTCCATTTCCTTTGCCCTCCCTTCCTCTTCAGCCAAGGAGTCCGAACCTATGTTAAGTGGACTCTCAGGGAATGTGGTGTGAACAGCAATAAACACGGTCCCTCCTGGACCTTCCTCAAGGAGCTTGCTGTCTACCGCGGGACAGAGAGCAAGATGACAACACAACCATTTAGCAAAGGCAGCTTATATGGGGGCGGATGTCACTGGGTGGCCGATACTCTGGCCTGGTCTTCAAGGAGAGACGGACAATGAGTAATGCATACGGGAGAGAGGAAATCCATCTGGCTGGTAGCAGAACTCATGTGCGGGCTGAGACGCAAAGGAGGGGTGAGGGTGGGAGGGAGAGAGAGACAAAGAGAGAGAATGTACAAAGCAGGGTGGGGTGAGAAAGGCACCGAGTGAGTGACAGAGGCATCTGGACAGGCGGGGCACTAGCAAAACTAATCAAACCCTGGCCTGAGACCCAGGAGAATGGCTATGGCACGGTGAGTGCCAGGGCCTTGCCAAAAATGTCTACCTCACCCCGAACACCAGGTCCCTGCAGGTCAAGTGTGAGTGGTAACACAAGATGACTGTTTACAGTTGTTAGGGGTGTGGGTTTTGTTCAGATGATCTTACTCATCTCAATTGCTGGCAGACAGGTAGCTTTCATTAAGATATTATAGTTTTATTGATGCTCTTCCCCAACTAATTCTGTTTTTCCTCTTTTAGAGATAGCACCACCTTTCTTTCTTTCTTTCTTTCTTTTCTTTCTTTCTTTCTTTCTTTCTTTCTTTCTTTCTTTCTTTCTTTCTTTCTTTCTCTTTCCTTCTTTCTCTTTCTTTCTTTCTTTCTCTCTCTTTCTCTCTCTCTTCTTTCCTTCCTTCTTTCCTTTCTTTCTTTCTTTTTTGGTAGCATATTCCCCTGTTTTTGGAGTGTTTTCATGAAGGTCAGTTCACTGGAGCCTCACAGCATCTCTTTCTTAAAGAGGGAGCCTGCGGTTCCGGGAGGCCGGGTGAGCCGCCCACAGGTCACGCGATTAGGAAAGGCAGAGATTAGGACCCGGACCTTCTGTTCTCTACACTGTCTGAGATTAAGACCTCAATCTGCTCGGGCCTTGGACCTGGGTCATGGTCTTCTGTTTTCCTTTGATGTGAACTTGCTGATAATTTCTCCATGCTGAATTGTGTTCCGCAGCCAACACCGAGGGTGCTAGTGCTCTGTCGTAAAGCCGTAACAGCTCTATTTGATAAGACCGCCCGTAATTTATTGCGGCTTTAACCTCTCGGTTGCTCGGGCAACCGGTATCCTGCATTCAGACTTGGACTATTTTAGTTAAGTCTAAAAATTTATGACCTTACAACCGCTCAGCCCATCGCTTTGCTCATGTCCTGCCCCTATGAGTCACGCTGACCCCCTAAGAATTGCCTAGAACTCTAAATCAACTAAGGGCTGTGGCGTGGGTGCATGTGAAGAGCTGGGACCAAGGCAGCCTGACTCATGCACCTGGAGCGGCCTGCCACCTCCTTGCCGAGCTCGTGGGCCAGGACAGAGGCCCATTCCGCACTGATCTTTCAAGGGCCTGCCCTTTACAGCAGGATCACAGTTTACTGCAGATTAGGCAAACTCATTTCACAATAACTAGGCTGGCACACGGTTAATTCTGTAACAGAAAAAGGAGGCCAATGCCATGGGTGAAGAAACACGCACGCAAACAAACCCACTGCATAAAGTCATCCTGGGAGTTGGTTTTGGCTTCGTCCTCTCCCTTACTGCGGGTGGGACACACCATGTCCTTTGGCATTTTCGTCTTATTTAACTGTCCCTTCTCTCCCAACACCCCTTGGCTGGACAACCGTGCTAACTTCTGATCTTCCAGCCTCGGCCCCATCCTGGCACACCATCCACGTAACCGACCTTTATTCGCGATCTGCTCTGTCCTCCCCGCCAGGGACATTGCGTAGGTCACAGGCCCCTAGAAGAGAGACACAAATGAGCAAATAATGGCAATGCATTTATTAGACCAGAAGCTCCAAGGACAGGGACCACGCGGGTCGTATTCTTTGTGCCTAGAATTTGTTGAATGCAGAAATGAACAATTTTTGAGAGTTACAAGTAAACACATGTTCAAAGAGCTATGAAAATCTTCCAAAGACAAGAACTGACTGAGTTGGCAGAGGAAAGCCTGGGCCAAGTAGAGGACAGGAGACTCTGCAAGGAAGTGACACTGAGCAGGCTGATCACAACTTCTGCCTCCTCCAAAGCCCTTCCTGGCCATTCCAGTCCTTGGGGACTCTTCTCTTCAGAACTGGGCACTTTACAGTATTTTGGCACTTCACATTCCTAATGGCATTGTTTTCTTTTTCACACAACATGTCATGTGTCCCTAATTAGACTACAGTCTCTTTGAGGGACTACAATTTATTTCCTATATGCATCGACCACATTTTCCTAACTTCTTAATAGGATGTATTCTACATTAGGAATGACTTTCTGTACAATTTATTGACTCATAAGACAAAAGGAATGCTTACCTTTAAATATCAGTTTCTCTGGGACCTGTGATTGTCAATTTATAAACCTTTAATTACCTGTTAGAGTCTGGGATGGGATCGGAAAGACATTTAAAGGGTCAAGTATCATTACCAATTGTGGATCAATTAGAAATACAAATAAACTATCTTTGGGTAAGTCAAAGGAACACCATTACTTGATTTACTCAACACTTTGATTTCAAAAATACGCTGCCCCCATTAAAAAACAAATAATTTTAGATAGGTTTTAATATGCATGAATACATTATTTGTCAGTTTTTTAGCAAGCAATATATCACTGAGATCTCACGAATATAAATATAGCAACTGACCCCAGGTAGCTGGCATAGAAACCACTTTTGAGAATTTAACTCTCAGAGGACTTTGTTCTTAGCATTTGTGGGTGCCCACATTTTTTTTTAACAGTTCCAAAATAGTTTACTTTTGTTTGAGTCTCAATGTAATTATTAAAAGACTCGGGTGATTTCAATATGTGGTATTTAAAATCCAACTTAAAGGGAATTAAAAAATTAGAACTCATAAGATTTAAATCTTAAACCTTAGTTATCATGTGTCTGTTTATAAAAGAAGAGATCCCCCCCCCTTTCTTTATTCATCTCAACTTAAGTAGACTATTGCACAAATGCAACAGTGGCATCCTGTGGCTTGGCCTGTGAATGACAAGTGCATATCACAGTTGTGGCCTTGGCGGGGGAGGGGGGGTGGTTTGTATTTGTGGCGACACAGAAGTACAGAATCAGTACAAAGAACATGACAATGCCAGCAGAAAAAACAACCATTCATTATTTTTAAGGACCTAAAATCATTATAAATGAATCTTCGTGGTCTTATATCTTTATTTCATGAGGATGAAGTATATATATAATTTAAAACTGAATTGAAAATAAAGCTACAGAAATTTGCTTATTGGGTTTTTTTAAAGCTTATTTTTAGAGGGGGAATCAACATGGAGTTTCCCTCTGTAATTTATATACAGGGAGTATGCCATTATTTCTCTCATGATGCTATCACAACATCCTATAACGGACAGATGAAATGGTGAGTTTGTCTTTCTCAGATTTTATAAAAGGAAAGAGGGAGCACACATGACAAATTGTAATTCCTACATTAAGTGTGGGAAATGGAGTAGAAGAATCCAGACCAACCATCAACAACTGCCAACTTTTTCCCCCAGAAACAAAATGCAAGTAAATCTTTGGTGTTCTTTGACTGACACACTCAGTGGCTTTTCTAACCCCAAATGACATCACTGTCATAGCTTACTGTAGAAACTTCTAGCTTCTCACCTTTTTTTTTTTTTTTGCATTTTTAACATCTTCATCAATAATATATAATGTTGCTTTTATTTAAGATTTTATGTAAATAGGATTATGGTGTTCATATTCTACAAGTTTTTGCTCTCAAGATGCAATCGAACTCTCATAAATGCTCTCGAGTGAAAAAATTTATAGAATATGAATACCATAATGCTATGTATGTAATTTTTTAAATATATATAATTAAGGCATTTGGGTTTACACTTTGGAAAATTACCTGTTCTCATTTTTCTCCCACTTCCCTATTGGGGTGTTTCCATTCTCTTATTTATTTAGGTGCTTTCTCCATTAGATATAAATTCTATGGTACAATAAACATATTTATTCCTTTGTTATGGATCCTGCAAATGTCTTCTCCAAGGATTTTTTAAAAAGTATTATTATGTCTAATTTTGATTATGGTATATTTTGTTCTAAAGATGTTTTCAGGTCCAAGGGGGGGCTGTATGTCAGTTCTTGCTCTTAGTTGCAAGCAATAGAATCCGGTCCGACTGGTTTAAGCAGAAAAGAAATTTACAGACAGTAAGAAGTTCACACAACGTTTGGGGGCGATGGGAAAAGATGCCTCAGCCTCAATGAAAGAACACCCCCAGAACAAACTAGCTCTTTCAGGACCCCGCCACCTTTCCAGCACCGCCTCTGCCCCTCCACGCCTCCAGGGAGCCAGCCTGCTTCCTCACTTCCGCCGAGGCCTCCGGTGGCGTCTGATTGGCCGGCCTAAGTCACATGCTCCACTCTGGCCAGGAAGCAGTCTGGGGAAATCCTGCTTACCTTGAGAAAGGAGGTCTGTGGGTGTAGGAACTAGTGTAGGTTGCCCCGGATAGCCAGAAGGTCTGGGCGAATTCACGGCCAGCATTTTCACTCTAGGTTGTAAAGATGTTCTCCTGCACGTTCCAGTAGTTTCTGTGTTGCAGGTTTTCGTGTAGAGATCTTTAATTCCACCCCACCCCTCAATCTGTTTTTGCATAATTGGCATAGGAATCTGAAGAAGCGCCAATGCTTCCATTCTTTTCCCACTCATCCGTACTTTAACCTCTCTCCTGTTCCACTTTCCTGCGTGCACACGGATTTGCAGTGGGCTCTCTATTCTGTTCCGGCACCTGTCCTCCTGCCCAGACCACTGTATTTTAACTTCTGCAACTTGAATGCCTTGATATCTGTAGGGCGACTCCTCGGCTCTCATTGTTCTTTTTCAAAACGATTTTTTTTTTTCATAATTTCAATTTTCATATGAATTTTATAATCGATTTCGAAACTCAAACAAATTCTGCAGGTTTTGTTTGGAATGTAGTTAAATTTAGGGGTAATTAGGCATAACTGACATTTTAGTGCTTTCTACCCATTACTCAGATCTTCTTTTATATCCTTAATAAAATTTTGTAATTTTTCCCCATTCTTTGACATTTTACATGATGTGTATTCCTTAGGTACTTTTTTAAAAAAAAAATTATTTGAGAGAGAGCGAGAGAGCAGGGGAGGGGCAGAAAGGGAAGGAGACATAGAATTCCAAGCAGCTCCAGGCTCTGAGCTGTCAGCACAGAGCCCCACTCAGGGCTGGAACCCACTAACTGGGAGATCATGACCAGAGAGATCATGACCTGAGCCAAAGTCAGATGCTTCACCGACCAAGCCACCCAAGCGCCTCTGTATTCCTTAGGTTCTTTACAGTTTTTGCTGCTATTGTGAATTGACGGATTTCTTTCAATTTTATTTTTTTTTTAATTTGTTGCTGAAATATAAGCAAAGAAACACCGAATTTTATATTGCTGTTGTAACCAGCAACTTTACTGAATTCTTTTCATCACTTCCAATAGTTTGTCTGTTGATGTCTATGCATTTTCTATGCCTAAAAGTAGCTTTTCATTTCCTTGCCACACTGCACACATTCTTTTCCTCCCTCTCTCCCTTCCATCCTTCCTTCCTTCTTAATGCATTAGCTAGTCTTCCTGTATAATGTTGAGTTGTGACAGCGATAATTGCCCTTCTTGCCTTGTTCTTGCTTTTAATGGGAATATTCCAGAAGTATGTGATGTAACTGCTCTAGGTTTTTGGTAAAAACCCTTTATCAGAGTAAGGAAGCTCCCTTCTATTTCTAGTTTTTCCTAAGAGTTTTTCTTTTAGATAAGAGTGTGTATTAAATTTATAGAACCCGGGGCGCCTGGGTGGCGCAGTCGGTTAAGCGGCCGACTTCAGCCAGGTCACGATCTCGCGGTCCGTGAGTGAGTTCGAGCCCCGCGTCGGGCTCTGGGCTGATGGCTCGGAGCCTGGAGCCTGTTTCCGATTCTGTGTCTCCCTCTCTCTCTGCCCCTCCCCCATTCATGCTCTGTCTCTCTCTGTCCCAAAAAAAAAAAAAAAAAAAAAAAAATTTATAGAACCAGATATGTTATGTTATTTATTTTTAATCTGAAATACATGGTGAACTTTCACTGATGGATTTTTCTGATGTTCTCACAACCCCGGGATAAAACCAAAACTAGTAATGATCATGTAAAAAATACACTGGTTGGATTTAATTTGCTAATATTTAAGTCTTTTAGTCTACATTTATAAGTGATATTACTCTACATTTTTTTTCCCCTGTACAGGCATATCTCAGAGCTACTGCGGATGTGGTCCCAGACCACCACAATAAAGCATGTATCACAATAAAGTGAGTCAAGTGAATTTTTTAGTTTCCCAGCACATGTAAGTTATGTTTACACTATACTGTAGCCTGTTAAGTGTGAAATAGCGTGTCTAAAAAAAAAAAGTCATACCTTTATTAAAAAATACTTTATTGCTAAAATATGCTAACCACCACCTGAGCCTTCAGCGAGTTATAATCACTGATCACAGATCACCGTAACAAATACAATAATGAGAATGTTTGAAATACTAAGAAAATTGCCAAAATGCGACACAGAGACAGGAAGTGAGCAAATGCTGTTGAAAAAAATATCACCAATAGACTTGCCCAACCCAGGCTTGCCATAAACCTTCAATTTGTAAAACAAAACAAAAACAAACAAACAAAACAGATGCAATATCTACGAAGTGCAATAAAATGAGGTATGCCTGCACTTGTACATCCTGGTTTCATTTTGGTGTCAAGCCCGTACTAGCTTTATAAATTAAGTAGCCTGCTATCCTTTTCTATATTCTGTAATAGCTTATGTAAGAGAGAGATTACCTTCTCCTTGAAGGTTTGGTAAAATTCACTAATAAAGTCGTCTAAGACTAGTTAGTGTCTTTTCTGGGAGGTGGTTGGGGGGTATGAACATTTGACTGTCAAATCACTTTTTTTTAACGCTAAACTAGTTTCATTCGGTTTTCCGATTTCTTCAGTTTCAGAAAGATACTTTTTCTAGAAAATTAGCAATTTCATCTGTATTTCCAAATTTATTGACATCAAATTGTACAACAGATTCCCTTATGATTTTTTTTTCATTTCTGTTGCATCTGGGATATGTTGTTTTTTTTTTCCTATTCCCAATGTAATCCATTCATTCTGATTGCTGCATAATATTCTATTGTATAGATATCCACAATTTATTTATTCAAGTATCAGTTGATGGATATTTGGGTTGTTTCCATTCTTCACCATTATGAATAATGCTACTATGAATGTGAGCGGACAAGTTTTTGTAGACATGTTTTCATTTTGGGTGGCATATACTGAGGGGTGTAACTTCCATTTAAACTTGAAAATCAAGGAAAGTGTTACATACTAGCAGCATGCAGGGAAATACTGGTAAAGATGTCAGTCTGCTTTCCTGCCATTGATCATAAGAATAAAGTTGGTTGAGGGGCACCTGGGTGGCTCAGTAAGTTAAGCATCCGACTCTTGGTTTCCACACAGGTCATGATCTCACAGTCGTGGGATTAAACCCCACGTTGGGTTCTGTGCTGGCATCTTAGAGTCTGCTTGGGATTCTCTTTCTCGCTCACTCCCTGCCCCTCCCCCGTCTCAAAATAAACAGATAAACTTTAAAAAGAAAAAAGAATAAGGTTGGTTGAGTAACCAACTTCTGCTCCACACTTCCCCTGCCTTCTGCCAGCATTTCAGGGAGTTGAGATTCTGTCTTGCCCAGGTGACCATGACCTACAGTCTTGAGGAATGTGAATCCTTGGTGATTCCGCCCATATGGAGTTGATGTAGTCCTTTGTTAACCTTGACCACAGGGCAGGCAGTACGAACAGACACCCTAAGGAGTATGGCCCCAGCTTCCAGGAACACTGTTCTTTGTGCAGTAGCTCTCCTTAGCTGCCCTGGCTAGGCAGCACCAGCCCTCCAGTGATCACCACGACCTCTCTTTTTCTCTCAAGCTTTCATGGCTTCAGGACATTGAAATGCCAGGTAGCAGTCTTAGCTCCAATTCAGGGGAACTGGTGACAGATCCCCTGGTGGAAGATCAAGAGACTCTCCAGCTGTGTGGATTGTGACCTGTGTGCGCTATGGTGCTGGGGTAAAAACCAGACACGCGGAGCACAGCCGCAGCTCTTTCTAGCATCCGCTGGTCTTCTAACAGTTCCATTCCTATTTTTCTGAGGTATATACCCAAAAGCATCGGAAACAGGTGTCACATACACACGTGTATACACATGTTTGCAGCAGCCAAAAGGTGGGAACAACCCCAAGGTCCACCAGTGGGCGAAAGGATAAACAAATGTGGTACGTGCCTAGAGTGGCATACTGGTCAGCCTATGGAAAGGAAGGAAGCATCGATACACGTCACAGTGTGGATGAACCTCAAAACTGCAATGCTAAGTGAAAGCAGCCACCACACAAATCATCACTTATTAGATGATTTCATTGATGTGACATACCAGAAGAGGTTAAGTCCACAGAAGCAGGCAGCAGAGGGTGGTTGCCAGGGGCTGGGGAGAGGAAGGATTGAGGAACAACCACTTACTGGGAAAGAGGTTTCTTTGGGGGGGTAACGAAAATGTTTTGCAGACGGAGATGGTGGCTGCACGACATTGTGAATATACTAAATGCCACTGAACTATTCGCTTTAAAAAGGTTAATTTTATGTTGTGTGAATTTCACGTCAGTAAAAACAAACAAACAAAGCCCTCTATGGTCATATAATCATTGCACACTTAGATTATTCCCAAGCTATATTTCCTCTCACGGATGATCATTTCTTTGTCACCCCCAGCCCCCCAACTCTATCTTTTATGGATACTCCTTTGAATAAACGTAGGTTTGGAGCTGCTAAGAATTTCAGGATAAATGTTTCAGATCAGATACAAAGATATTTGGAAACAGAGAAACAAAAGGAAACAGATTGAGTTAGCATTCCTCTTTGATGTTACCTATGTCATAGATACACCTTTGAGACAGCTGTGTTTTTATCGATTTTACAGAAAATAAGTTTTGTTCGTCATAAAATCATTATTTCTCATATGCTTGGAGCCCTAAGAGACACGTGTCACTATGCAGAATCCCTTGATGTAATTGATTTAAAGGAAAAATAACAACCTAAATTTTAGATGGTTACACTTGGTCCATTTGGAGAGATTCAGCTCTGTTGGTGGGAGCCACGCCCCCCTCCCCAGGAGGGGAGGGAGCCACGCCCCCTCCCCTCTTCATAGCGAGCCTCCCTGAAGGATCATAACACAGACCAATGAGATAGAGGCAAACCCAAATATACCTCAATTTGTCAGAAGCCTTGCTCTGCTTCTCCATGTTTGGAGTCTGACACATGGTTTGGCCCAACACATTCTTCCCAGTATTTGCATCCCAAGGGGAGTTTTAAGAGACACTTAATCCTCATGTTTCTGCTTCATTTTCCCTTAACTCATCAAAACAAGGTTATGAAAGATTGCTTTGATCTCTAACAGGACTTGTTCATGAGAGACATGGGGCCATTACTTTCAAAACAGAAAGCTGCACTCTGCCAAGAGTTCGGGGAGTTAACAGCATGACGTTTGAGCTTCATTCGGGGCACCTGACCTATGAGAGCCAACTGGGTCCTACCCTTGGCTCAGGGAGGCCTCCCGCCCTCCAGCCTAAGAAAGCCCATTAATTAACTGTCAGACCAGCTGTGTAACAAGTGAACTTTGAGTGGCTGTGCCGTTTTCTTGGTTCCAGGCCAGAAACAATAGGTATAAAACTTACGCCATTAGTGAGACATTTCACAGAGAAATGGGTATTTGCATAATGGAAGGCTGCCTTCCAAATAAAATGTGCCTTGCAGGACGTGTATTTTTTAAAAATTAAAATGTAAATAAATCTGCTCACAGCAGCCTTTTTTGGGTTTTTACAAATACCATCTATTCTTGATGAATTACTATGAGGTTCAAATCAGATTCACTGTCCTATTGCTCTAGGAGTTCAATGCCCAAAGGATAAGGATGGGAAGGAAGAATATTATAAAAATGTGACAAAAATTCCTGCTTAAATAAACTTGAGCCTAGGGGTGCCTGGGTGGCTCAGGCGGTTAGATGTCTGGCTCTTGATATCAGCTCCAGTAGTAATCTCATGGTTCATGGGATTGAGCCCTGTGTTGGGCTCTGTGCTGGCAGCATGGAACCTCCTTGGGATTCTCTCTCTTCCTCTCTCTCTGTCTGCCCTTCCCCCCCCATAAATAAATAAATAAACAAAAAAATAAACTTGAACCTATCTTCTAAGTGAGATATTATAAAAGGCACTAGACTGGGGCATAATTAAAGTTCTTTAATTTGTCAGGAACAGAAACCAAGTCATGCCAGTATGAACAAAAGGGAAACCTGTTGTAAAGATATGGGGGTGTCTTGCGTCAACGAAGAATGAGCTACACCTGATCCTTAGGAAGGACAAGAGTCAGCACGAGAGCAGGTCAGGGCCCCAGGGGCTATGGTTCCTAGCTTTCCTCATTTTCAGATTGAACGGAGAATTAAAAACAGAAACCATGTAGAGGATTAGACACGAGACAAGATTCTGTGAAATGTCAAAAGGACAGGTGAGGATAAATAAACATTAAAAAAAAAAAAAGAAAAGGACAGGCTAGGTAACCCCGCTATCGTTCCCCCAAGTGAGGTAGCTAAAATATTTAATGCCCAGAAAAACTCTCAGTATCCAAGCCGAAAGTGGCCTCTGATGTCACCACCTCTTTAACTTCAACACTTGGGCATTTAGCATCTGTTTGAAAATTTCCCATGATGGGGCATTTACTCATTTACCACTTACGGGGACAACCTATTCCATCATTGGACCATATTAAACACAAAAAGGTGTTACACTGAAGTGAAATTTGACCACTAGCCTTTGGTTCACTATCTAGACTTTGAGCACACAGAACAATTCTTAAACGACGTACACATGATAATCCTTTATATGTGAAGACAAATCCATATTCTTGTCCTCCTAGGGTTTTCTCCTATTCTAACTAAGCATGTTTAATGGCTTCAAACAGTTTTCACATAATGGATTTTTTTCATCTTGCCCAATCTCTTCTACACTTAATTTAGTCTCAAAAAAAAAAAAAAAGTCTTTAGTCTCAAGTGGCCCTCTTAAAATGTAGTATCTAGGATCGAATATATACTCCGACATGGTCTGGATAGTAAACTTCCAGACCAAAATTCTATTAATTCTAAAATTAATAGAAGTAAGCTTCTATCAATGTGGCTTTGGATTGCATTCGCATGATCTTGACTCAGATTGTGCTTGTGGGTCATGCATATACCGTTGCTAAATCAGCTCCCCCTCATTATACTTTTGTGCAATTAATTCTTTAAACATAAGTGTAGACGGTCCAGGATTCAAGTAAAAATGGAAAACTGAGTAATCACCGTTCAGATTATTTTTAACTTTGACCTTGCCTTCCCTTATATTAACTGTCTTCCCAGCACCAACTGATAGGCATAGATTTTACCTCTTACTCCAAGTCATGGATTAAAAAAAAAATGTTGAACTGACTTGAACCAGGGACAAGTACAGAGCCTTTTGATCTGGACTAGAAATGTCTCCATCAATTAACACTGAACAGTATTCTTTGAGTACTGGCCAAACACAGGGTTTTTCTGTCTGATGAAGGAACCGTTTCTCTAAATACTAAGATCTACTTTGGGGCCCCTGGGTGGCTCAGTCAGTTAAGCGTCTGACTTCGGCTTAGGTCATGGTCTCACGGTTGGTGGGTTTGAGCCCCACATGGGGCTCTATGCTGACAGCTCAGAGCCTGGAGCCTGCTTTGCATTCTGTGTCTCCCTCTCTCTCTCTCTCTTCCTCTCCTTCTGCCCCTCCCCCGCTCATGCTCTGTCTCTCTCTCTCTCTAACAATAAAAATTAAAAAGTGTTTAAGATCTATTTTTAAAAAAACAAAATTCTCAGAGTATTATTGTGCCCAGTGAATTGTTAAGAATGTGGAATACTCTGTTATGTGTGTCCTTGTATAAGGATATCATCTTGTGGAATCCCATAAAACACTCTTTGGGAAACACTGTTGACCTAATTCTATTATCCTGCACTGTGCAAGTTGCCAACCAGTTCCACTGAGATTTAAATGGCAGCTTAATCAAGTGCTCTGCTATAATCAATGTATACTCTGGTCTACAGCAAGCTTTGGTTCTTCCAATCTATTAGCTCTATCAAAGGAGGCAATAAGGAGAGAGAGTTAAGAACTGAGCCAAAGGGTTGAAGAATACTAAAGGTATATGTTGGCTGGGAGATTTCACACACATGAGATCCTGGGTCTTAAGTGGTCAAAACATTACGTTAAAGAATGAGAAACAAAGGCTGAATCAAAGGTTGAACCAATTTGCCAACTTAGATCCAGAAAAAGAACCCAAGCATAGAGGTCAGGACAGTGTGGTAAAGTCAGAGCAGGTGGCATGTCACAGACTATGAGTCTGGAGTTCTCGCCTGTCCAACAAGAGAGTGGACACAGAATTGAATACAAGAGAGGCTAATGTCCAGGAGGGGACAAGAGGCCCAAACGGGTTTCATCTCCATATTTACTGAGCTCACAAGATATTACTCACATGGTGAACGTGAGGAAAACAAGATCTTACACACACGAACGTGGAGAAAACAATGAGATAGTAATCATTAACTTGTGTGTGCAAGAAGCAAAGGATCTGGGGGGCAAGTGGAGTTTGTGATAGTATATTGGTGTCAGATGGAAAGTAATTTGTAACTCGTGATCCCATTACAGTATCTCCCTACCTAACTTCAGATGCTTTTCCCCCATGGTGGCAGCTTTCCGCCCTAAGCGTGTTTCTAACCCGTTTATGTAAGTAGAACTTATTTCCCCACAGGGGCAGCTGGGTTTTAAGCCAAAGTCCTGTGGCATCTGGCTCTACCCTTGAGGGTCAAGATCCTACCTGAGTGGACACTGAACCTGTGCCTGATAGAGAGTTAAGAAGCTTCTTTCTCTCTGCCACCTGCTAATATTATGCTGTCTGCCCCAGCAGGGTCTAGCTGTCTTCTTCTAAGTTAAGGATGACAACATAAACTCCTTTCGTTGTGTGTACCTTTATTCCTTTGGGGGCTTTAGTCTTCCTGACATTCTTCCTCTTCCTCCCTTCCTTTTCTAGTCATTTTTCATTCTTTCTCCCACTTTGCATCTTTACTATATTTCCATATTTAGTCTTTCACAAGTTCTATATACTCATTAGCACTACATTTGTTCTTGGACCATTTCTACTTAAGCAGCAATATCCTATAGCTGGATTTCTTTGTATAGTGAATGTATTCCTGAAAAAAAAAAAAACCAAAAAGGAATTTCAGAAAGCTAAATGATATTTTTAACACTCTGGGGAGTTTGAAATTTACAGATACTTCCCATGGATACCTTTTCTATAAAACTGCAGAATGCTTTTGTAAGCCAGATGACCTCTAATTTGCCAATTTTGTTAAGTTTGTAAATTTAGTTTTCTTAAGTCATGGTTAATCTAAATCAACAAACACTGCATTTTAAAGTTTATCAAGTAGCAGAGTATCTGGTCAGTTGACCAGAATTAATTGATGTGATTTCATGACTGTGTTCAGTATGATTTAAGTTCCACACTTAGTAAATTAAATGAGATCATTTTATAACTACTCAGAGTATTGACTCAGTATGTGATATGCCTGATGGATAATGAATCTATGTTAGCCCAAATGGTACCTTCTCTTGCCCTTCACATTGCTTCTTCATTCAGCAAACTTCATTGATTGTCTAGAATATTCAGGAAACTTGGGAACACAAATGCCTCTGGTTTAATTCACATCGGACAATGTGAATTAGAGTAATTCGCTGCCAGGCATCCAATCTTAAATATCTGCAAATATGTTAATTACTGATTAGATGGGGATTGACACAATCCAAGAAGGAAAAAAAAAAAAAAGCAGACCTATAAGCAGTCTAGATTCAAGCTGGAAAAAAGTACAAATAGGAACGTCACAGATGTTGGCCCTTCCACATGGAAGGGCCAAGAATCAGTGGTGAGTCCATGGGAAAGTGACAAACTTAATTCCAATTCTGGCCATGCCTCAGTAGCCAGAAGGAGAAGAAATAACAACCTATTACAACCTGCTCCCTATGTGCCAGCCACGATTTTAAGCACTTGGCATGTATTGTTTCATTCAGTCCTTACAACACCCTCGGAGGTAGATTCTCCCATAGTTTCTGTCTTATAAATGAGACACCAGAGGTACAGAGAGGTCAAGTATCTTGCCCAAAGTTGTAGAGCACGCAAACGGCAGGGCTGGGGGCCATCCAGGCAGTTGGACCCTGGAGCTCATGCCTTGGTCGTTACAGGGCTCAAGTGAGGTAGGCGTTGGAAGTGCCTTGGCTCTGTGAGGGTACGTACACGAGCGAAGATATTATTATCGTGCCGTGTGTAGCCTCCAGAGGGCTCTCACCCACACACATGCTCTTGATTTACCCAGTAATAACTTAATCAGATGATTTACACCATCCTCTACAGTTGGAACAAGGATACAGCAACCTAGTTCTGGCGTAGTACACAAGAGGGAGATTTAAAAAATCCAAATAATATGTGGAGAAATTAGATTTTTCCCTGGGACAT